ATTGTATTCTACTGTAGACCAGTATCTTCTGTGGAAACCATCACAAAACTCAAGTCATTTAAACCTCACAGTGACAGTAAAAAGGAAATTCTAATACACCCCTCCTTACATATGAGGAAAGTGAGAGCCAGTCAGGCGAAGCAATTTGCACAAGGATATTCAGTGAGTACATCTATAAAGCTCAACTGCAAAGCTCAATCTCTTTAACACCAAAGTCCACTCCTTTTTCACTGTATCAGTGGTTTTCCAATTATGTTCTACAAAATCTAAAAGATGTTCAGGGACTCCAAATGTCCATTCAATTAGTCTTTTTTATAGTTTAACTATTTTTAAATGAATAAAAAGGCAACATTCACAAATTCTACAACTTTGACAACCACTAATACACTAATTTTTGTTGTCTGGTTCATTTGGTTTCATGCAGATCTCAGAATAAGGCTTTCTCTATCATCTCTAGATATATTCTTGAACTTCTTGAAACTGTGCCATCATTAGGAAGACTATAGATATATTTTGTTTGGGAGAAAATTAATTCCAATGTGTGAATATTCAGTCATGTAAAATGGTACAAACACTATGTGCTGCACTCAAATGCCAAGTAATGCTCAAACACTTCAGTTTGGAACAAGCTGCCATCTTGGCAAAGGAGAACAATATTAAGTACATGAGTGCATCCTTACATTTGAAAAGTATACTATTGTTGGCAGTTTAGTGTTTCTAGGATCAGTTTAAGTGAATATTATGTATGCAAGGCAAGCTGTTAAAAATTGTTTACCATGTTCCTCTATGGCCCCCATGTTTTCTGTAAACTAGTAATAAAACTAGAGGCTTGGCTGGGTGCAGTGACTCAAGCCAGTAATCCCAGCATTTTGGGAGGCCGAGGCAAGGGGAATGCCTGAGCCCATGGGTTCGAGAACAGCCTGGGCAACTTGGCGAGACCTCATCTCTACAATAAATCAAAAAATTAGCCGGGTGTGGTAGCACACACCTGTAGTTCTGACTACTTGGAAGACTGAGGTGAAAGGAAAGCCTGAGCCCAGCAGGTTGACACTGGGGTGGCCGTGAGCATGCCACTGAACTCCAGCTTGGGCAACGGAGTGGGATTCCAACTAAAAAACAAAGAAACACTAGAGGCTTGGTTAGATTAAAGTCCTTTTTTGTTCCTTTTTTTGGGCACAAGGTCATCATTGATGATGCATGCTTCCTACTGGTATCAGGAGGCATACAATACCTGGTTGCCCCATTTTAGCAATGCTACCTATTTAAGTTCAGGTAATGTCAGTCTAATATCTCTATCATGGATTTTCCAATCAACCATTCACCTAAGGGTTTTAGCCACTATTGATAATTACCTAGATCTATCAGTTCATTCAGCATTTTTTAATAGGTAGCTTTCTAATTCTATTAGTTCTCTTGCATTTTTTAAGCTGTGATTCTCCTATAAACATCAACATTCTCTCATCAGTTATTAGATTGCTCTGAAGTCAGTCCAGTTCAGAATGTGGGACAGTCTACAGGACAAATAATCCAGTTTCTTCAACAGATAAATGTGGTTTAAAAAAAGAAAGAAGAGAATTCTTGTAGATTAAGATAGACTCATCAACCATATGCACCTATGATTCCAATTTGGAGCCTGAATCACAGACCAATTATTTTTTTCTTTTTTCTTTTTTATGAACATGTTTAGGCAACCAATAATACTGAAAATTAACTGGGTACTATATGTTAATTATAGAATTATTATTACGTTTTTTGGTTGTGATAATAGTCCTTTCCATTAGGTAAGCACTGAATTCTTTACTAGTGTGATGATATTATATTTTGCTATAAAATATTCTAACCCCCTCCCAAAAAAAGGATGAGTTTAGATATTTAAAAATAACAGCAGAGGCCCAGCACAGTGGCTCATGCCTATAATCCCAGTGCTTTGAGAGGTCAAGGCAAAAGGACTGCTTGAGCCCAGGAGTTCGAGAACAGCCTACACAACATAGCGAGACCTCATCCCTACAAGAAAAAAAAAATCAAAACATTGACTAGGCATGGTGGTGCATGCCTGTAGTCCTAGCTACTTGGGAGGCTGAGACAGGGGGATCAACCAGGAGGTTGAGGTTGCAGTGAGCCATGATTGTGCCACTGCACTCCAGCCTGGGTGACAGAGTGAGATGCTGACTCAAAAAAAGTGGAATAGGATAAAATAACAGCAGAAAGTTGAGGTTTGTTGAAACTGGGTTGATGGGAGTTTATCGTTCTTTTTATTTTTATGTGTATCATTTTTCATAATAAAATATTTAAAGAAATATAATTCAAATATATTTCCAGAAATTGATGAAAAAAATAATAAAATGGTTACCATTTTTAATTATTCATCTGTGTGTGAATCAAGATCTTCTATCACGCAGTAGAATGCATTAAGTTTTTTTCCTTGTGATTTATGTATTTTTTTGTTGTTTTTATTTTAAAGATGTGGGGTACAATTCAGGGTTAGGTATACAAATGGCCATTATACAGGTAAAGTACAATGGGCCTCACTTTGGGCCCCACATCACCAGGTTTGAGATCAGATACCCTTACTGATGAAGTGTGCCCCCCCACTCCCTCCCCAGCAGTTTCCCACGACTGCCAATCCCTTTCTTATAGTATTATGATAATTGTTCAGCATCCGCTTATGAGTGAGAACATGTGGTACTCAGTTCTTTGTTTCTGTGATAGATCACTGAGCATTATAGACTCTAACTCCATCCAAGTTGCTGTGAAGTTCATAATTTTGTCCTTTTTATGGCTACATAATATTCCATCATGTGTGTGTATATATATATATATATATATATATATATACACCACATTTTTTTGATGCACAGGATAGTTGGTTCCATATTTTTTGCTATTGTGAATAGTGCTACAATAAACACATATGTGCGGGTATCTTTTTTGTAGAATGATTTGAGTTCCTCCAGGTATATTCCCAGAAAGGGGATTGCTGGGTCATACGTGAGGTTGATTTTTAGATCTTTTAGGAATCATCACACTATTTTCCACAGAGGTTGTACTAGTTTATACCCCCATCAACAGTGTAGAAGTGTACCCTTCTCCCCGCATCCTCTCCAGCATCTGTTGTTTATTGATGATGACCATCCTGACTGGAATTAGGTGGTATCTCAGTGTGGTTTTAATTTGCATTTCTTTGATGACTAGTGAGGCTGAGCATTTTTTCATGTATCTGTTGGCAGCTCGCATGTCTTCTTTTGAGAAGTGTCTATTCATATCTTTTGCCCACTTTGTAATGAGGTTGTTTGTTTTTTTCTTTTCAGAATGTTTGAGTTCCATGTAGATTCCTAGATGTTAGGCCTTTGTCAATATATAGTTGGCAAATATTTTTTCCCAGAAATGTATAAACTTAAGTTTTAAAAACAGTCTCCAATTTACTTCAATACACCATTTAAGACGTTTGGAAGAATATCATAATAGCTCTGAAATTAAAATGATACTCTTAAATCTAATTTTTTTAATGAGTAACCTATCAGCATGGGACATAGGTCAACTGGATCATCACCATCATTGTCTTACATAGCACATCTTATCCTGATAGAAGATGGCTCAGTACTGTATTATTGCTTTATCACTCAACATGGAAACACAGCTATCTCTGGAGCTCAAAATTTCCTCCAGAGTAGATGGGAATCATTTAAATGACAGAGACATTTATTGAGAATTCCAATGTCTAAACTAGAGGTCAAGAAAACTACATCCTTCATGCCAGCTCGCCACACAGTCACATTCATATGTTGTCTGTGGCCGGGCTCAGTGGCTCAGCCTGTAATCCCGCACCTTTGGGAGACTGAGGTGAGTGGATTGCCTGAGCCTGCGGGTTCGAGA